GGGCCAGATCATGTTCCGTTACCCCCGCGGATCAACAATTGATCCATTACACCCTCATGCTGGCTGTTGTTCATTACCCCCACAGGGCAGCTCTTGTTCCGTTAGCCCCGTGGGTCGCCACACAGGCCAGATTATGTTCTGTTACCCCACGGGTCGACAATAGGTCCATTACACCCACGGTATCTTATTCTGTTACACCCACGATGTCCAGCTCTTGTTCCCTTAGACCTGCGGAACCTTCTTCCGTTTGGCCCGCGGGTTTCCAATTACAGCCATGGACCATTTGTGGCTCCCCCGTGGGTCTCTGATTACACCCATGGATTACCTGCTGCTCGTTACACCTGTGGACACCCACGGACCACCTGCTGCTCCTTGACCAATTGGCCCTCTTCCATCAGCCCCCCACCTGTGGGCCACGTTTGCAGCTGGCCTGCAAAATGGACCAACAATTGTGCCTTTACATTCACAGACCATTATTCCATTACACCCGTGGACCAGCAATAGTGCTGTTACATCCACGGACGAGCACTTGTTCCATTACACCCATGGGCTGCGCTCTCATCTGCGGACCTGCTCTTGTTCTGTTACCCCCACGGACCAACAATTCTTTTATCTGCGGACTGACGGATTACCTACCACTCCGTTTCTGCGGACACCCATTGTTCCTGCTGCTCCTTGACCAATTGGCCCTCTTCCATCAGCCCCCCACCTGTGGGCCACGTTTGCAGCTGGCCTGCAAAATGGACCAACAATTGTGCCTTTACATTCACAGACCATTATTCCGTTACACCCGTGGACCAGCAATTGTGCTGTTTCATCCACGGACGAGCACTTGTTCCATTACACCCATGGGCTGCGCTCTCATCTGCGGACCTGCTCTTGTTCTGTTACCCCCACGGACCAGCAATTCTTTTATCTGCGGACTGACGGATTACCTACCACTCCGTTTCTGCGGACACCCATTGTTGCTGTTGGACCCATGGGCCAACAGGTCTTCTGTGGCACCCATGGGCCACACCATTTGTTAAGCCCATTGGTCCATTACATCCGCGGGCCACCAGCTAGAGCTCCACGGACGTGAACATCTGGATTTGTATTTAACATGCTGAATGTCATTGCCCCGAAAATGTGGCTGAAATAATGTCCGGATTTGTGATTAACTTGGTGAACATAACTGATCCGAAAATGCGGCCGAAAAAACATCCGGATTTGTATTAGTGCAACAATGTCCGAAGTTTCAGATGTAATTTTGACATGGACCAGACAATCCCTTTGGAATGCTCTGAAGTCCGAAATTTTTTATATTACTTCCATCCGGATATAATAATCCCCATAGACTGCACCAATGTCCGAAATTTTGGATGTAATTTTGACAGGGGCCAGACAACCCCCATGGAATGCTCCAATGTCTGAAATTTATACTTCAAGTACCTGAAAATGCGGTCACAAAAACATCCGGATTTGTATTTAACATGCTGAATGTCATTGCCCCGAAAATACGGCCGAAAAAATGTCCGGATTTGTGATTAACTTGGTGAACATCACTGATCTGAAAATGCGGCCGAAAAAACAT